TCACATTCAGAACAAGCAGGAGCTTGTGAGGAGACAAGATGCAGGAGCAGAGTGGCAGCCAAGAATGGGAAGTAGAGATGTTGAAGCCAAAGACTGCAGCTGGGATCATACTGAGCTTCTACTGTGTTCCAGAGTTTTCTTTTTCACTATGAGTAGCACACAGATATTCCCAGCACAAAATACCCAACTTCTCTACCCCACCTCTCCAGCTTCTAAGGTCCTCCTATTCCTATACTTCCTCCCTGACTTCCAACATCCCATCATGCCCCCCATCCCTAGTAACTTCCTGATTTCCACTTTCCAGTCCCTTTTCAGTAACTGTGTGTGATCATTATGAAGATTCCACTAAATTCCCCTGAACTTGATTCTTTATTGCTCTTGTAAGAGAGAGAGAGAGAGAGAGAGATCTGCCATCCGTTTGTCCACTTCCTAGATGACCTCAACAGCCAGGGCTGGGCTAGGCCATATCCAGGAGGCAGGAGCTCTTTCAATCTCTTTTCTGTGTTTTAATGATGTCTCTGACAGATATTATGCCCTTATGATCACTTCCAGGCGTTAAAGTCTTCAGTCCAGCACAATTTAAGAGTCCCCTGCGCCGGCACCATGGTTCAATAGGCTAATCCTCCTCCTGCGGGACCGGCACCCCAGGTTCTAGTCCCAGTCAGGGAGCTGGATTCTGTCCCGGTTGCCCCTCTTCCAGGCCAGCTCTCTGCTGTGGCCCGGGAGTGCAGTGGAGGATGGCCCAAGTCCTTGGGCCCTGTACCCGCATGGGAGACTAGGAGGAAGCACCTGGCTCCTGGCTCCAGATCAGCGCGGTGCGCCTGCCACAGCGGCCATTGAGGGGTGAACCAACGGAAAAGGAAGACCTTCCTCTCTGTCTCTCTCTCTCACTGTCCACTCTGCCTGTCAAAAAAAGGGGGGGGGGGAATAAGTGGAACTTATTATTGTCAGCTTTTACACATTAGCCAATATCTCAATAGAAGAAGAAACTTCTAGCCCAACCTCCTTTTACACACTATATCCACACTGAGATTTCCTGGGCACTGACTAGAGAACTGTGTCTGCCTCACAACACAACAGCCTCATCTGCAGGTGAGATGGGAATGCACCAAATGAATGGGCACTTTCTGCCACCTCTTCCCATAGTCCTTGGGAACGACTCGGTTACTCAATGCGATTGCTATGCACTTGGAAAGACAGAACTGAGAAGGAACTGTGACCTGGAAGTAAGGAGGGCTTTGTGTTTGTCTATTCATCCTAATTACAGATGAGGAATGCCCAAACTGCACTCCAAAGGGCCGAAGCCGAGTTCCTGTACTGCCTGTTCTTACAGCATCCGCTAAAATGACGAAGTCATGAAACTCCCAGGATTCATCCAACCAGACCAGTCTCTATTTCCTTTATGCCTTAAGTTTGCAGGGAGCCAAGCCTCATCGGGAGGAGACTTCTGGGGCTGACAGTTCTCAGGGTGTTGCTCTGGTGCTCGGAGGGAAATGAGCAGACCCTGCCCTTCCAGCTGCTCTCCGTCATCACAGGATGGCAGCTCCGCATGTGGAGCTGCGGCACCTGACCTCACAAGGAAGAGGAGCACCTGAGAGTCATGAGGCACTCAGCAAGGTGGAGGCAACATTAATAAGCTGCATCTCCAGGACTGGTGGGGCACCTTCCAAGGCAGGCAGGCAAGGCTGAGGCTGGTGAGGAGCCTGACAGGAATCCACCTGTGTTTCAGAGAGGCGAAACTAACCCATTTTCTGAAAGTCATTGGCAAGGATATTTTGATTGCTTGAAACTTGCGCAAAATATGTTATTTGTGATCCTTTTTCAATTATTTCTCCCTCCTCCCCTCTCTCCCTATTGTCTGTGATTCAGGGTTGCAATTCCTGGGGAGAAAATGATTCCCATGCTTGCTACTGTTTTGAGGACAAAGCTTGCTTCTGGATAACCACAATATATGGAGAATTAAATATTCAGCTTTACAGCAAAATCTAGTTCCCAACGCCGTTTGTATACCCCTGTGGTGCTCGGAACTCCCTTCGGGGGCCATCATCACTGGTATAACCAGCTCTTCTATTTTTATTCAGTTTTCCAGACAACAAGCCTACTACTAAATGATACCATGACACTCTCTGTGTTGCTATGTCCCTACTGCCGACCATGGTGCCTGGCCCATAAATGCTGAGAAAACAAGAAGAAGGCCCAGATTTCTGACAAAATAAAAGTCTGCCTTGACTCTAGTAGTTAGGCTATGATTCTCTCCTGTTGGATGCAAACAGTTTCACAGAGCTCCACATTAGACAAGCCAGCTCCAGGCACATGAAGGAGCAAGCCAAAAGCCAAAACAAATTAAGATTGTCCTAAGCGTCAACAAAACAAGAGCATTGTCCAAATCACAAAATGACCAAATCATCCCTTTTTTCTCAAGTAATATGAGTGGCTGCTACCTCTTTACCAACTACAGCTTTAACCTTCTCTAATTGTTCCTGTTACTTAGTTTAAAAAAATTAAGATACCCAATCACAGAAATTCTTATGCAATCCAGGGAAGAACTTGACTTTCTTGAACTTCTCTCAAATTACTTAAAGTAAGCACAAATCATTTAGCAATTGCTTCTTAAAGATGCCCTTTTAACATGGTGTGCTGTCTGCATTGCAACAGGACACTCAGCGTAGCTTTGCTCCACTTCAGGTGTGTTTCCAGTGTTCTTTGGGTGGGGAAAACCAATGATGTCGCAAAGAAGTTTATTAAGTGAAGAATTATGGACTGAACCTGAAGGAGAAGGGCTTTCAATAAGGCAGGAGTTGCAGATGGTGGTATCCAGGCAGGGCAAAGTGCTCAGGAAGAATATCAGACCTATGAGGAAATCAGAACACGGTATCTCAACCAGAGTCGTGGACCAGGTACCAAGGTGGATCCTTGAGAAAGCCCAGAATTCTCCAGCAACGTGTTTCAACAGGCTGCCCCTCTGCCCATCTGGCACACTCTTGGCCTCCATCACCAGCAAAACTTGAGGAAAGCGCCTCTTTGTGTCCTTCCTCAGCTTCCTCCATGGATAATCCTTCCAATGCAGTAGTAATTGCAGGGTCCCAAACAACACGACATAAACAGGCACCCCAGCATGGCCCTGGACTAAACCTAGAAACATCCCTAAGCAAGAGACTCCTGAAGGCAGAGGAACATGAGAGAGGAAGGTCAATGCCACCAGTCCTTCCCCTTTCTCCATCCCAAGCCACATTCTCAGTTATCAAGTGCAACTCATTCTCCGTCAGGTGTCTCAAAATAAACCATGGAATCTCCATGTTTTAAACTGAGAGTTGTTAAAGTGTGTGGCCTTATAAGGAATTTTTTTTAAGATTTATTTATTTATTCAAGAGGCATGGTTATAGACAGAGAGAGGGAGAGACAAGAGAGAGAGAGAGAAAGAGATCTTCCATTTGCTGGTTCACTCCCCAAATGGCTGCAACATCTGGAGCTGGGCCGATCCGAAGCCAAGAGCCAGGAGCTTCTTCTGGGTTTCTCATGTGGGTGCAGGGGCCCAAGTTCTCGGATCATCTTCTACTGCTTTCCCAGGCCATAGCAGGGAGCTGGATTGGAAGAGGAGCAGGCGGGACACGAACCAATGCCAATATGGGATGCCAGCGCTGAAGGCAGAAGCTTAACCTACTATACCACAGCACCGGCCACCTTATAGAGAATTTTGTGTTACAAGCCATAAACTATAGAGAACATTCACATCCATACACCAGAATACAGTTATTATCAAATAGGATTCAGATTTTATAAAAGTTATCCTGCACAAGCCTTAGAAATTATTAGGATTCTTCCATTCAATATCATGCACATAATGTTACCACCATCACCAACTTCATCAGTGGCAACACATTGACCAAGTTATCTTCATGACTTTCAGAAATTTTCTTTTTTTTTTTTTTTTTTTTTTTTTTTGACAGGCATAGTAGACAGTGAGAGAGAGAGACAGAGAGAAAGGTCTTCCTTTGCCGTTGGTTCACCCTCCAATGGCCGCCGCGGCCGGCGCACTGCGGCCGGCGCACGGTGCTGATCCGATGGCAGGAGCCAGGAGCCAGGTGCTTTTCCTGGTCTCCCATGGGGTGCAGGGCCCAAGCACCTGGGCCATCCTCCACTGCACTCCCTGGCCACAGCAGAGAGCTGGCCTGGAAGAGGGGCAACCGGGACAGAATCCGGCGCCCCGACTGGGACTAGAACCCGGGGTGCCGGCGCCGCTAGGCGGAGGATTAGCCTAGTGAGCCGCGGCACCGGCCCAGAAATTTTCTTAAATATTTGATACTCAATGATAATTTTCTTATAATCAATATCATACATTCCACAGGAAACTTACTAAAATGAACAAACTATTTTTTTCAGACTACACATACATCTTGTGAGCTCAACTGTTGTAGATCTTTTTGATAGTTTGTCAATTCATCCATATAATCCCATCTTGCTTTGGTTCTCTTAGGGGCCCAATCTTTCCCCAGACAGTGCACAGCTCCCCTCCTCCATCCATTAGCTAATATATCTCACTCTCGGGGCCCAGTGATCTCACATCACCCAACATCCCCAGGGGTCAGGAGGTGACTGCCTCTGAGCAAATGCAGAGCAGTAGAGAACTGATATCCAAAGGACATGTGTACCACAGGACAAATCATATGGTGGCACATTTTCTCTCTCAGTCCCATTACTCTTGAAACGTTCAAGGCCCAGACTTGTGTCCCATACATCTCCACGTTCTCACTGCCCAGCAGCAATGAAGAGGACAGAACCTGAGATAAGGCATTTGAGATGAAGGAAAAGAAAAAAAAAAGTGAAAGGAAAAGAAACGGCAGGTCCCTAGGACACCCCAGGAGCAGTCATCACAGTTCCCGGTTCCCTCCAGTCAGGCATGAGGAAGATGCTGGAGACGAGGGATGGGAGTGCCTGCTGCTGCCTCCTTCCTGGTTGCATCAGAAACCCCATGGAGGATAAAAGGGCTTCTGCCCTGGACTCCTCATCCACAGCCTCCTCAGGAGCAGCCTCCTCCTGCCTCCCCTGCACCCGGTGAGTGCCCAGCAAGGAACAGAGCCCAGAGGCTGCTTTTGGAGAAGACAACCCCAGACTTTAGTGGGGAAGAGAGAAGCAGTTACACCTGACATGGGGACATAATGAAGAGGATATGGCCAGTGCCGCGGCTCAATAGGCTAATCCTCTGCCTAGCGGCACCGGCACACCAGGTTCTAGTCCCGGTTGGGGCACCGGATTCTGTCCCGGTTGCCCCTCTTCCAGGCCAGCTCTCTGCTGTGGCCAGGGAGTGCAGTGGAGGATGGCCCAAGTACTTGGGCCCTGCAACCCATGGGAGACCAGGAGAAGCACCTGGCTCCTGCCTTCGGATCAGCGCGGTGCGCCGGCCACAGCGGCCATTGGAGGGTGAACCAATGGCAAAAGGAAGACCTTTCTCTCTGTCTCTCTCTCTCTCACTGTCCACTCTGCCTGTCCAAAAAAAAAAAAAAAAAGAATATGGAGAGCATCTAGGGACAAGGGACATCTGTGGGACACATGAGAATCTGTGACACAACAGAGCCCCAGTTCTCAGTGTTCCCTCGAGAGGACATCAGCCCAGAGACAGTCTCGGGGAGTCATTGCCCAGCTGGGTTTATTTGCTTCAATACTTCTGTGAAGACAGAGGGCCTCGGGGACCAGTTAAAAGACATTAGCGTTCTTTTGGAAGGAAGGCAAAGTGGAAGGAAATGTCTTGTCAGGTCAATGTAACTTGAGGCCAATTTCCACTGCCTTCTTGAAAATCGTAGTTCAGGAAGCAACCGGTCTTAGGAGCAAGGATTTACAAAACCAATCAGAGAGCAGATACTGACCTAAAGCTCTTGCACTGACCTTTTTCTTCTTTCTGTCCAGGATCACTGACGTCCTACCAAGATGTCCTGCCAGCAGAACCAGCAACAGAGCCAGCCCCCTCCCAAGTGCCCCTCACCCAAGTGTCCTCCAAAAAGCCCAAAGCAGTGTCTGCCTCCAGCCTCCTCTGGCTGTGCTCCAGGCCTCGGGGGCTGCAGTGGCCCTGGCTCCGAGGGCAGCTGCTGCCTGAGCCATCACAGGCGCCGCAGGTCGCACCGATGCCGGCGCCAGAGCTCCGAGTCCTGTGACAGTGGCAGTGGTCAGCAGCCTGGGGGCTCAGGCTGTGGTGCTGTGTCTGGGGGCTGCTGATACCTTGGGGAGTGCAGCTGAAGCAAGAAACTTGGAAGAAAACAAAACCAAGGTCCACGCCCATCCTGCTGTGTTCTCCCCCAGCGCCCTGGTCTCTCTGCCTTTGGCCAGTACTGAGATGCTCCCCAAGGAAGTTCTGAGTTCTGCTCAGTGGCTCTTCCTGGCTGCTCTCCAGGAGCCCACAGAATGCCAGGGTACCTGCCGAGGTTTGCAATATCTCTCCTGTCTACTGCCATCACCTGTGCCTAACCCTATGAAAAAATAAAGTTTCATTTTGTCCACACCACCGGGCTCTCTCTGACTTGGCTCTGTGAATTCACTTCCTCCTGCCCCTCCAGCCGGTGCCACCTCGCCTAAGATCAGAGCTGACTCCAGAGCAGAGAGCAGTTCTGATCCCTCTGTAGGGGCCTGAAGGAGAAAGAAGAGGGTTCTGCCGGTTTGTCCCCATGCCAGCACAATGCTTGGCTTCCCCTATAACACGGGCTATTTTGTGCCTAGGCCCTGTCGGGGGCAAAGACTGCCCTTAGGATATGAAAAAAGATTCCAGGATTGCCAAGCAGGAGACAGGTAAGAGGGGAAGCAAAGAGCCCAAACACTAGTAGAAAAGTTCCTGATAGACCAGGGCAGGAAAGGAAGGCCTCAGTGGTGCTTAATAACTCAAAAATCCACTCAAAATGGATTAAAGACCTAAATCTACAACCTGATACCATGAAATTATTAGAGAACATTGGAGAAACCCTACAAGACATTGGCATAGACAAAGACTTCTTGGAAAAGACCCCTGAGGTACAAGTAATCAAAGTCAAAATTCACAAATGGGGTTACATCAAATTGAGAAGCTTCTATACTGAAAAAAAAAAAAAAACCACTCAGGAAAGTGAAGAGGCAACTGACAGAATGGGAGAAATTATTTGCAAGCTATGAAATTGATAGGGGATTAATAAAACCAGAATATATAAAGAAATCAAGAAACTCAACAACAAAGCAAACAACTCAGTGAAGAAATGGGCAAAGAACTTGAACAGAAATTTTTTAAAAGAAGAAATCCAAATGGCCAACAGACATGGCTCAGGATCACTAGCCATCAGGGAGATGCAAATCAAAATGACAATGATGTTTCACTTCACCCCAGTTAGAATGCCTTTCATACAGAAATCAGCAAACAACAAATGCTGGCAAGGATGCGGGGGGGGCGGGGGAAGGTACCCTAATTCACGTTGGTGGGAATGTAAACTGGTAAAGCCACTATGGAAGACATTAAACAGAGATACCTCAAAAATCTGAATGTAGACTTACCATATGACCCAGACATCCCATTCCTGGGAATTTACCCAAGGGAAATGAAATCAGCATTTGAAAGAGTTATTTGTACCCCCATGTTTATTGCAGCTCAATTCACAATAGCTAAGACATGAATCAAACCGAATGCCCATCAACTGAAGACTGGATAAAGAAATTATGGGATATGTACACAGTGGCAAAAAGAAAAAATGAGATCTGGTCATTTACAGCAACATGGATGAATCTGGAAAACATATTTAGTGAAATAAGCCAGTCCCAGAAGGACAAATACCACATATTCTCCCTTATCTGTGATAACTAATAGAGCACCTAAAAGGCAATCTGTAGAAGTAAAACTGATACTTTGAGAAAGAATGACTTGAACAGCCCTTGTCTTGACTGTTGAGGAACAGGGTGTTTTTTATACTATTCGTTGAACTCTTTACTTAACATAGAATTAAACATATGTGTATAAAGTCAGCTGAAAATAGATCTCAGTGAAAAAAAATTAGAGTCAGAATAAGATAGGGAGGAGAAAGAGGGGGTGGAAGAGTGGACATGGTGGGAAGAATCATGTTCCTAAAGTTGTAATTATGAAGTGTATGAAGAGTATAACTGTAAAGCTGTGTAGTTCTGCATACATTCCTATGAACTTACTTCTAAGGGTACAGTTTAAAAACTTGTCATGAGACCCCAAGTCCCCTAAAGCCGGGTGGTAAAAATACCATTTTAAGTGTTAAAGAGATTATGTGGATAGGATTAAGGTCTGGTAATAATAATAGAATTAAAAAGGAATGAATGCTCCAACATGAAAAGCATTCCACATAACAGACTCATAGAATGACTATCACTTTAAATAGCACTCTGACCTCAGAATCAGCCCTTAAGGCATTCAGGTCTGGCTGAAAAGCCCATGAGAGCATTTCAGGCATGGAAAGCCAAGATACTGCGGCAAAAAAATGTCCTACATGAAGGACCTTGGTCAGTGAGACCCCAGTGGAATAAAGTGGTCATCAAAGAAGAAGGTACTTTTCTCTGAAGGGAGGAGAGTTCTTCCACTTTGCTTATGGCCTGTCTAAATACTGATTGAGTTTGGGGATTCAAAAGGCTTCCATAGTCTAGGAAGCTCATGTCAAGAGCCTCAGGTGATCACTGACATCATGCATAAGAGTGTTAAGTGTTAAATTAACGAGAGTGTGCTATCTTCCCATGCAGGACCTCTGTCCTCAAAAAGTTGTATTATAATTATGTCTAAGTGCCCACAAAAGATGTTTCATTATTGGGTGATCCTTTAAAGTTAATTAAGTTTCAAAAAAAAAGAAGTGAAATTAACTTCAAGATGCAATGACTTTGAACAGCCCCTGTCTTAACTGCTGAGGAGCAGGTTTTTTTGTTTTGTGTGTGTGTGTATGTATGTGTTTCCAGTGCAAATTGTTGAACTCTTTACTTAGTATATAGTTGGTCTTCTGTGTATAAAGTTAATTGAAAATGAATCTCAGTGGAGAATGGGACTGGGAGGAGGAGGAAGGATGGGAGAGTGGGTGGGAGGGTGGGTGTGGTAGGAACAATCACTATATTCCTAAAGTTGTACTTATGAAATGCATGAAGTCTGTTTTCCTTAAACAAAAGGTTTCTTTGGGGATAAAAATGTAAAAAATAGATTGGATTTGGAGGAAGATGAGAGGAGAGAACAGTGGAAGCTGGACCCTCACCTTCCTCTGAGTTTTAAGTAGTAAATGTTGAGGAGATAGGGGCTGGTGGTCTCCCTGCTTGCATTTCTTAGCTTTTGTGGCAGCATCATGAGGGTGACTCAAAGCCAAGTTCTGTCCTGAGTGCATCTTTTATAGTGTGAGAAGTTGAGCGAGGCAAGGGTAAGAGTCTTCTTGCCCAAATAAGAACAGCCTGGGTAAGTCCTAGGGGGAAAATCTGCAACACCCTCAAAAGGATGTTCGCCTCCTACACAATGCCCAAGTCCCTTCCCTTTCCGTCTGCTGGCAGCATCGGTTAAGCCAGAATGGGTGCACACAAATCACATCCTTGAGATATGGAGGAAGAAGCATTCCCATGTGATACACTCTCTTCTGAGGGTCTACTGCTAGCAGAACAGCTGGCTCTCTGGGATCCACAGGGCGTCCAGTCCCATCTGACCCAACAAAGCACCCAGGCTGGTACACAAGGCCAAGCAAGGTTATGTCATATAAGGACCTATATGCACTTCTGTAGTTGCTAATGGCCAGTCCTAAGGGCATGACCTATGGTGAGCCTGTCTGTCGTGGTGTGAGTCAATTACTGTTGGCATGGAACCTTCAATCTTTTGCCAAGGAATAAGCAGGGCACCACTGTGGGGCTCTGAGAGTCCTGAACTCTTACTGGGTTGGTGGAGATTTCACATGCAAATTCTTTGAGGTTATCTTCATTGATACAACCTATAAAGCTAGCAGAAGAAATCCTGACACCCGGAGAATCACCAAACCAGCCCACAAGCACAGGAAGATGCACAGGCTGACAGCAACAAGCTACCTTGGAAAAGGCCACTGATTGCATCACATTACTGGTGATTCTGGCTGTGCAGAGGAGAAGGCACGTTAACCTCCAGCTGCACCATTGTGGGTAATACAAGCAATGTTTGTAAAATTCATACTTAATGTTTGCTTAAAGGTATTAATTATCTGTCAAAACTAGTCTTTATTTAAGTTCATGAATGTTTTGTCAAATTATGCTAGCTAAATCTACGACCTGACACCATCAAGTTACTAGAGAACATTGGAGAAACCCTTCAAGATATTGGCACAGGCAAAGAATTTCTGGAAAAGACCCAGGAGGCACAGGCAGTCAAAGCCAAAATCAACTATTGGGATTGCATCAAATTGAGAAGTTTCTGTACTGCAAAAGAAACAGTCAGGAGAGTGAAGAGACAACCGACAGAATGGGAAAAAATATTTGCAAACTATGCAACAGATAAAGGGTTAATAGCCAGAATCTACAAAGAGATCAAGAAACTCCACAAAAACAAAACCAACAACCCACTTGAGATATGGGCCAAGGACCTCAATAGACATTTTTCAAAAGAGGAAATCCAAATGGCCAACAGGCACATGAAAAAATGTTCAAGGTCATTAGCAATCAGGGAAATGCAAATCAAAACCACAATGAGGTTTCACCTCACCCCGGTTAGAATGGCTCACATGCAGAAATCTACCAACAACAGATGCTGGCGAGGATGTGGGGAAAAAGGGACACTAACCCACTGTTGGTGGGAATGCAAACTGGTCAAGCCACTATGGAAGTCAGTCTGGAGATTCCTCAGAAACCTGAAGATAACCCTACCGTTCGACCCAGCCATCCCACTCCTTGGAATTTACCCAAAGGAATTTAAATTGGCAAACAAAAAAGCGGTCTGCAGCCTAATGTTTATTGCAGCACAATTCACAATAGCCAAGACCTGGAACCAACCTAAATGCCCATCAACGGTAGACTGGATAAAGAAATTATGGGATATGTACTCTTTAGAATACTATACCGCAGTAAGAAACAATGAAATCCAGTCATTTGCAACAAAATGGAGGAATCTGGAACACATCATGCTGAGTGAAATAAGCCAGTCCCAAAGGGACAAATACCATATGTTCGCCCTGATCGGTGACAACTGACTGAACACCAAAAAGGAAACCTGTTGAAGTGAAATGGACACTATGGGAAACGGTGACTTGATCAGCATAGCCCTGACTGTTAATGAACAACTTAATATATTATCCCTCTTAGTAGTTTTTTTTGTCTGTTCTACTTAATATGACTGGTTTAATTCTGTAATTAATACACAGTTATTCTTAAGTGTTGAAAATTAACTGAAATGTGATCCCTGTTAAACATAAGAGTGGGAATAAGAGAGCGAAGAGATGTATAATTTGGGACATGCTCAAGCTGACTTGCCCCAAATGGTAGAGTTAGAAACATACCAGGGGATTCCAATTCAATCCCATCAAG